ACTGTTGCGGGATTTGTTGAATTCATTGATGTATATAAAGAACCAACAGGATATAATGTTTGAAGTATTTCAGTCTTTAATGTTTGAAGCTCTGTTTTGTCAGCTTTCTTATCATATAAATCTTGAGCAGTGAATTTAACATTATTTTCATCATCCATGACATAAACATTTTTACAGCTAATGTCTTTCTTCGTTGTTATGTTTTCATTCGATGTTAAACTTGTGGAAAGTTAGGAGGTTTATAATATAATGCATCCCCACCAGTTCCGCCAACCGTTCCTTCAATACTTTCTATAGCAACAGTTGAGAAGGAGTTATGTGTATGTTCTTTATCTGCTTTCTTATCTAACATTGCTGGTAGTTCATGTGTTTCAAAGTTTCTGACATGACCTTCGTATTCATACATTTGTTATTTAAGGAGTTTAGTGTATCTTTTACGCTTGTACTTGGATTCTCTAAAGGTGCACTTGAACCAAGGTATAGTTCAATATTATGTCGTCTGCTCTAACAGTAGGAAGGATTCATGTGTATGGTTCTTGTCAGCTTTACTATTAATGTAGCTTGAAGTGAATTTATATCGGAGATATTGTGTTTATGAGATTTCAAAATTTATTCGTTGCGTCAAGTTCATCTTTGTCAGCTTTACTTTTAATAGCATCTTCAAAAATTATTTTTGCCTTAATCTCAAAGTAAATCTTGGTTCAACTAATACACCGTTAACAAAGAAGTATGAAAGCATAATTTCATTGTTATTACCAAATGCTTCTGGTGCTTTACCTGTGTCATACTGTACAGTACAGCTTATGTCATAACCTTTAGCACGAATGAATTTATATCTTCTTTCATTAACATCTTCAGTGCTTATTTGTTCATCTGTGTTAAATTCCATGGTAGTCCGTTATAATCTGTCGTCTGAACTTATATAATGAACATGGTTTTATTGCTTTTTCGGCTAATTTCTTCTATCTCATTTATTTCAAGTTCATGCCTACCACCACCTCCCGAAGAATATTTTTCTTCAGCTCTTGAAGAACGTCCACTTCGCCATCTTTGGTGTCAATAATGAGACTTTGAGTTAAAACCTTTCTGTCTTAATGGATGTTTGTAAAACTTCTTCTTCACCGTGTTCGGGTCATGGTCGTCATCATATTTGCGAAATCAGAGATGTTGTCATACATTAAGCATATCTGTCTCAAAAGTTCTGCTATTTGAAACTGGAACGAAAGATATACAGAACTTTCATCATCTCCTAAAGTCAAGTCTGCTTTCTTAAGTATTTCTTGAATGTATGCAATGAGAACAGAGTACCTTGGAAAATATTCGAACAATATTTCATTAGCTGTTGGTTTTGGTGGTTCTTCTGGAGTTTCTGTTGTTTCAGTTCCTTCTGTAGGTTCTGTTGGAGTTTCTGCATCTCTTGACTTCAATGCTCTTGCTCTCAAAGACCTAAATGTTAGAGCACCAGGTTTTACAAAGGACTTTATAAATGCTTTAATAGTTCCTGGTAAGTTATTGTTAGCATTAAGTAAGTTCCTTATGCTTCCATCATGTACGTCCATAGCACTATGTAAAAAATCTATACTTTTCTTGTAGTCAGCAATAGACTGACTGTGATTTTTTAAAGATTTGTCAATACCTTTAAGCCAATCTTCATGGCATGTCTGATACTGAGCCAAGAATATCATTTGCTTCCTTTAGTGTATTTTGTGCTTCTCGTAAAGTATCCAATCCCGTACGTGCATTGTTTGCTATACGTCTTACAGTATCTATTTGACTCCTTGTTTCTTGCATCCAACCAGATAAAGTTTTAATAGTATCCGAACCATTTGAAATGAAGTTCAAAGCATTTTTAACGTCATCTAAAACTTCTTCACCAAGTACTGCCCATATCTTTCCGATTTGGTATTGAAGAACTCCATATGAAGCAGCTGTTAAACCAGTATTTATAAGGTTCCATATCCATGATTTAGCAGTTTTTCCATCCTTTCCATCTTCACCATCCAACCGTTTTCGCCTTGAGGTCCTTGTATTCCTTGTATTCCTTGTATTCCTTGTGGTCCTTGAGGTCGGTGTCACCCTTCTCTCTTTCAGTTCATCTTTATGTTCGTTATAATATTCTAATGTCATAAGGTGTACATCAATTACTGTACCAGCAACGCCGAGAATTTGTTTCTCATTCATGACTAAATTCTTTAGGCATTTAATGTTGTCGTCAAATCGAAAGCTCTTTAACAATTCAATGAGAACATTTAATACTTTCACCAATGAGGCATCTACTGTAGAATTTATATATTGCACCGTTCCATCATTTATGATGGGAACCTTGCTTGTTGTAATGAATGGGTCATAAGTGTTAAAAGTATCGAAATCAATGACTTTTTTAGTTTTTCCATCGTCAATGACTAAATCATTGCCTTCCACTATTAAAGTTGAGTTTTCATTTACTAGTTCATGTGCTCTTCTTGCTTCATTTGTTTCATACGCATATGCAGCAATAGTCATATTTTAATGAGAATAAAATGTTGTTCTATTTACAAAGTACAGACCCAAACGAATACGGAATAGTAAAACTACAAACAAACTTAGGTCTTCAGAATGAAGCGCTTGCTTTCAGAGTTGTTGACTTCAATACTATTGCAACTTTTGTCATAACAGATAAAACAGATTTCATAGAGATTGAAATAGATGACAAAAGAAGTGTTATAACATTTCCTAACAGAGCCGGGTACAGAATAGATAAAATTGCTGGAGTCATAGATACTCTCATAAATGAAGAAACTATTGACAACATAGATGTCGAACTCTCTTCTGAGGGAACATTGAAGTTCAGTTATGCGAAGGAGTTTAAGATAACACGAATGAGTCATAGAGTTCAATTGCTTCTGGGAGCATACCATATGACATTTCCTTTGAAAAGTGTTGACAAAACGATTGAGATGAAATCTGTTCCATACGTATGTTATGGCAATTGTTTGTACATTGAGTCAAAAATAGCTAATGTCACAAGTATTTCAGGAGTTAATAGTAAAGGTTCAGTAGAATATAAGTCTTTCTGTTATGAAGTAAATTCAATGTTCATTCCAAACGTTCCTGTCATAGCAACTCATTTAGGTAAATGGGTTCGCATTAGTCTTCATAATTTGAAAGACATGCAATTCAGACTTGTTGACTTTCAAGGAGAGCCTGTAGAACTGAAGGCACCAGTGCGAATGACTGTTGAAGTTGACTTTTTAGAAAATATTAAATGCAACAGCTTACAAGAGAACTCAGAGCTAAAAATATAAAGTATGAATGTTATGTATTAGGTCATGAACTTTGGTTGTTGCTGTTTGATGAAACAAATGAGTTAGTTATGTCAGTCAAGAGAACAGAAAAATATTGTGTTAGTGAAAACTGCACCAAGTCAATAAGATTAGGTTTGCATTATGAAGATGAGTTCGATACTGTTGAAGAAGTTTTGGATATATATTACAAATTGCTAACTTGAAATTTTTTGACTGACGGCGCAAAGCGCCAAGACCGAAGGTCCTGACTGCTTTAATTTACTAAAACATATTTCAAACAAAGCTTATAGTCAGTAGATAGTTTTGTATACTCGTTCGAATATCTATACTTAAACTCAACTCCTGGAGTACCTGGTGTTTCAATGATGCGGATGTTACCTATTTTCATGAATATTGGCGTTTGACCACAGCATTCGATTTCAGGGTCGAGATAGTCAATGACACATTGTTTCCCTGTTATTCGTGATATAACATTTTCAAGGTCCTCCTTTGTTAGAATTATTTGGTTCTTGCTTATAAGATTTGTCAAAAGCTTCTTATCGTCTTTGAGTAAAATTGTTTGATACAACTGAAGAAGGTAATGGTCTACGTTATCTGAAGGATTTGTTTGAACATTTGTGTAAGGGTTGTTGTTGGCTTCTCTTGAAAGAATTTGGTCCAGTGGTGGATACTCTAACTTAACATCTGATGTAGCGTTAGCGTTTGAAGCTGTGTTTAAATTCACCGACTTAAGTTCTAGTTCTTTTTCTTTCAAACACTCCGAACTATAGTTCTTTATGACAATATTGTTTGTCGTTCGTGAGTCAACATTTGATGTTGGTTCAATTGGAACATTAACGGCACCAGCTAAGATGGATTTGCTTCTCATTTCATATAGAATAAAAACCTTTTATATGTATGAAATGAACAATATACTCGACAAGGGTTTGAATTTAAAGCTAACGAATGAAAATATTGTTGAATTCACTGAGACAGGTGCTGTGTATAAAGATGTAGAACTACTGAACAAAAGAGCAAAGGGAAGAAGCAGGAACATGAACAAAGGGTGGAAGCCTATAAAAATTTATGTCAATGATGGCTCAGGAGGTTCAAACATAAAGTATGCAGAAAGTTATAGAGTTTATGCTCTCAAAGGTGAAAAGCCTTCATTTAAGAACAGCTATTCTAACGCATATCCTCAAAAGCTAACGGATGGGGAAGTGGATGATATGAATGACAGCAAAAATATTAACAGAAATGGCGACAGAGATGCATGGAATTTGTTTACCATCAGTCAATTGAAGGTTAAACTTTAAAACAATGTTGGTCGTTCCCATGGAATATTTTTGACTTTAATGGTATTAGTCATGATATGAATCTCAAGGTATGAACGAGGAGAGATGAGAGACTTATATGCTTCCCAAATTTCTTCAAAAGGTAATGTTATACCTGACTGTTTCCAAATGAGTTCAATATCATAACGTGAGAAACCTTGAAAGATAACGAAGTCAGTTATGAGACGTTTTATGTTTAAAGCTAAAAACCTCCATGTTTGCATAAGTATTGCTACAGTTAAGTGGTAATGTCTGACTTTAGTAATGATGTTAGCTAATGGTGAGTCTGGTTTTGACACTAAACCTTTACCAGCGAAATCATCACAAACTAATAAAGTGTTTGATGGATATTTTTTGAAGGGGTATTTTGAAAGTTTTGACAGAATGTAGTTTGTAAGTCGTTTCATATCGTATACGTTCTGTCAATAATTCTTTCCATCTCCTCAGAAGTCTTTTGCATTCCTGACTGTATAAATTCAACGATGGCATAATATTTCCTCTTACGTCGAATGTAACGTTGAAGAAATTCAATGAGTTCACTGTCTGGAACTTTAACGACAGAGGCTTGAACTTTTGACATAAATGTTTTCGCTGTTGAGTCCATAGAGTCTGAAGTTGCTGATATAATGATTTGGTCATAGTAAGAGTCGTTTCCTAAACGCTCTGTTATGAGTATATGACGAATTAAATTAAATGTCTTACCTGAACCCATCTTTCCACAATAGAAATAAACACCATTTGAACAGAACTCATAGTCCTTACTGAAAGGAAGAATGAGAGAACTGTTGAGCTTTTCACTGCTTTCATTCATGTCTTCATCTACGTCATGTATTAAATGCTTCATTTTATCTCCATTAAAAATGCAAGTCAGAAATATTCAGAACATAGCACCGAGTCTAACTGACAAGAGTATAAAGATATACTATGAACATGTTATGATGAAACCAACCAAAATTCAAGAAAGTCAGTATACTTATGAATATCCAAGACACTAGGTAGAGTATGTAGGAGGTGAGAAAGCTATTGAAATCAGACAGGTTCGAAGTATTCCAGCAGGAAGAACAATATTATTGAAGAACTTTAATGTTTTGAGATATAATGATGAAACAAAGAAGCAAGATAGTTTCCCTGTTGCTGTGTATGTGAACTTAGATACAGGAGATGACATGAAAGTTTTTAATACAAAGCTTCAAACGGTAGTGAGAGAACAACTGACTGCGGAAGGGCATCCATTACCTTCAGAAGTTACCATAGCATATAATTTTGAAACAAACTCAATAGATTTTAAAGTCATCTCTGCAAAGAAGTCAGGTTTTACATTTAATGAAGCAGATGTATATTCGAATGAAAACTTCAAAGCTATTGCATGGTTAGATAATGACGATTGCTTTAAGAAAATATTTAAATACAGTGACTCAACGATGTCAATAGATGACCTTCGTGGAATGTTACCATCGACGTTTACAGTAGAAGGTTCAGCAGGATTGCTTACAAGATTGTCAATTGGTGGTATTTGGTCTCGTGAGAACATTGTTATAAAATCCAGTATAAGTGAATTTGCTGAAGAATCTATATTATGTCTTTCAAACTACATGTATTCGCCGCCGAAGCATTATAGTATAACAAACTTTGTCAGTAAGTTTAACATAAGACTTGTCGAACCTTCTTCAATGAAAGATGTTGTGCTACCAAAGACGGAAAGGATGGACTCATTATTGAGATGATTTTAATGCATATTAAATGAGCTTGTTCTTGAAGGTCATTCATGATGAAATAACTGTTGTAGAAGATGTTAGCAATTGTTCAGACATTTTGAAGCGTATAGATGATATAAGAAAGAAGTTAGATAGACCGCAAAGCGGTGAGGGCGAAGCCCGTGAGAACGCTTATGTTTCATTGACTTTCTCCAGTAACGAGAACTTTTATGAGATAATATTGAAGAGAGATGATTTTAATATGGTGTAAATGGTATTTGGGTAGCTTTAGGCGCAATGGGAACAAAAGCATTAGCATTTGAGCAAAAGCACTTGGAGCTTAGGACGCAGTAAATAAAATGAGTGGAGGAAGGGTTTCGAAGACATTAGATGCAAATAAAGGGAAGATTGGAGGCTGGGTTGCAAAGAAGTTAAGATTAAATAAAATAGGGCTCATAAATAAAGCATCCAATTTGGTTGCGACTGAGTCAGAAAATGCTTTAGGAAAGGACGATGAGTTTGCAAAACACGCAAAAGACTTTAATGACCAGATGAAAGGTGAAACAATGCATTTAAATAGAGTCGATGGAACTAAAGAAAATGTTTCTTCTCCACCAGCGGTTTATCCATACGGACCTTATGGAATGTATGGAAACCCTTATGAACGACCATTTGACCCATTGACTGGTGGAAGTAATTGGTATTATTATGGACGAAGAAGAAAGACAGTCAAGTTGGAGACAGACGTGAAGAAAGCAACTAAAAAGAAACCAAGGAAGAGAGTTATAAAGCAATGAATTCAACAGGGTGAAAAACCGGGTGAAAAAAGAGGTGAGATTTCACCACTTCACCTAAATTTATTTTTGTGCTATGTTTTCATACGTGTGAGGGTGGTGATATCATTAATTTTTAAGTTTATTTTTTATTTTATTTTTATATAAATGACGAAAACTATTGAGATAACAAACTACAACGGTCATGAGTTCAGAATTTGTTCTTCGTTTCCTCGTGAAAATACATTCTATCAGATACGAGGGAGAAAGGGTAAAATTAGTTTGAGCGTTTATGAAGGAATGAAGAATGGAAAGTTTATACAAGCATACGATACAAACGGTAAACGTTTTCATTAGCTTTGTCAAAACTTACTAACATTTATTTTGACAGTGACTTGACTCTGACGATTGGAGCGACAGCAGCGATACTGAAGAATTGAAGTATTGTGTGAAACACAGCAATGGGAGGAGTTGCAATACTTTTGTAAGTGAGAACGTTTATTTTTTACAGTAGTGAAGTCGTTTGTGAAAACGTTAGTGAGGTGGAGTGGTTGGTGGCTTTGTAAATATTTAAGGTTAAGTTAGTGTTGTCGTTTGTGTTGTAAAATATACGTTAACGGTTTCGTAAAGTGTCAAATTCACATATAATGGGTAAGGAGGCGCGTAGTGCCTCCGTACACATTATATGTATACTAACTATTAATCCATTAACTGGAACAAATTACACGCCAAATCAAATGTATCAGCTGAAACCGAAATACACAAATGCAGATACAGAAAGGTTGTGGCAAATATGGGATACAGATACAGGCATGACCGCTGTTGACACATTCACAGCGTAATAATAAACATAATTTTTTAATTTCATTTTTAACAAGTTTTTTTAAATGTATGTAATGAATAATTCATTAGAATATGATAATGCACATTGTAACAGAATAGAACAATCACCAAATTTTTTTTTGAAATTAAAAAATAAAAGTAAAAAGTATAAAGTAATCTAACCAAAAAAGATATTTAAAAGAATTTTGGAAAAAACAGAATAAGGATAATGATATTATTTTAGATACACAATCGATGTACTGAAGAATAATCCGGTAAAATGATGATATAAAATTAGATTATTTTACAAGTAGCTAAAAGAATAAAACTATAATATAAAATAAATGAAGTTTAATGAAACAATAAAGGTTAAATAAATAATAAAGATTTTTATTTTATATCAGTATTGAGAAGAAGTAACAGCTGACACTTGGTAGACAACTTCTTTATGTCTAGAAAATTCTATCTTGCCTTTTATTTTTTTCTCGCTGTGAAACGTATTCGGTCATTTTTTTAAAAATTAATTTTTTGTTAGAGATAAGAGCTAAAACTCGGTAAACAACTTCTTTATGTCTAGAAAATTCTATCTTGCCTTTTATTTTTTTCTCGCTGTGAAACGTATTCGGTCATTTTTTTAAAAATTAATTTTTTGTTAGAGATAAGAGCTAAAACTCGGTAAACAACTTCTTTATGTCTAGAAAATTCTATCTTGCCTTTTATTTTTTTCTCGCTGTGAAACGTATTCGGTCATTTTTTTAAAAATTAATTTTTTGTTAGAGATAAGAGCTAAAACTCGGTAAACAACTTCTTTATGTCTAGAAAATTCTATCTTGCCTTTTATTTTTTTCTCGCTGTGAAACGTATTCGGTCATTTTTTTAAAAATTAATTTTTTGTTAGAGATAAGAGCTAAAACTCGGTAAACAACTTCTTTATGTCTAGAAAATTCTATCTTGCCTTTTATTTTTTTCTCGCTGTGAAACGTATTCGGTCATTTTTTTAAAAATTAATTTTTTGTTAGAGATAAGAGCTAAAACTCGGTAAACAACTTCTTTATGTCTAGAAAATTCTATCTTGCCTTTTATTTTTTTCTCGCTGTGAAACGTATTCGGTCATTTTTTTAAAAATTAATTTTTTGTTAGAGATAAGAGCTAAAACTCGGTAAACAACTTCTTTATGTCTAGAAAATTCTATCTTGCCTTTTATTTTTTTCTCGCTGTGAAACGTATTCGGTCATTTTTTTAAAAATTAATTTTTTGTTAGAGATAAGAGCTAAAACTCGGTAAACAACTTCTTTATGTCAGAAAATTCTATCTTGCCTTTTATTTTTTTCTCGCTGTGAAACGTATTCGGTCATTTTTTTTAAAAATTAATTTTTTGTTAGAGATAAGAGCTAAAACTTTGCAGACAACTCCCCCATGTCTAGCAAATTTAACATTCGTCTCCCATTTTTATATATTTGGTTTAGAATGTTCGAAAATGCGTAATATGGTCATTAATATTAATTGAAAAGAACTTTGAATTAATTCAATCTGATCTCACAAAATATTTTAAATTACAAACTTTGTAGTTTGAATAGATAATTAGTATTAAACTCAAATAACTAGTTTATTTTTGAATAAAAATTATTTGAATTTATTCAATTTTGTGAATTTTCCTTCAAAAATCAAGTTTAAATATCTTATTTGCCATATAATTATAAATACAATGAAACATATTCGAAATTGAAAAGAATGACTTTTTCTGTTCTTTCAATCATTCAATTTGAATTTTGTAATATTGGATTTCTCATTAAATAGCTATTAAAAACAACAAGCAATTTAACTTACATTCAAATTTATTTGTGTTATATTCAATCTTCTCAAAACTTATAATTTTCGGCTATAGCATGATTATATGCTATATAATATAATAAACCTATAATAGTATCATTCTTTCAATTATTTGAAGAGAAAACTGAAAAAATCTATTTTCGGTCTATAACAATTAGAACCGTTTTTCAGATTTGAACGTTATCTATTTCATGATAAAACAAAATTTGATGTTGATTACCTTAATAATGAAAATAATAATAATAATATTAAAAAATTGTGAAGACAATTAAAAGTATCTTTCAAAATATAATCTATAAAATCAAGATAAGGACTGTGAAGTCTGAGGTTTTTTCAGTCCGATTGCTCTTATTTTTGAATAGTCATCTTTTAACAAATTGAGAAAACACAACAATTGTTTCTGGCGGGATATAAAAAATTGAATATATAACGTAATTTTTGTCAAAAAACAAAAAATCAAAATGGAATATATAGAATAGCTATATTCCTAATAAAAATTATAATTATATTAGATCCTTTGATAATAATAAGCTTATACTTTTGAAACTATTGATAAGTAACGCAATTCAATAAAGCCGCCAGGATCATTTCCTTGGTTCGCTAATAAATACATCACAGCGCTTTTTTTTCTTTGATTCAACTATAAAAAATCGTTACTAACCTTCTTTCTTTTCTGAAGATTAATTAGATTCAGAGTATCTGAAATGTTTGATCAAATTCTCATTTTATATAAATTCTAGATATTTAAAGCCTTTTGTCTACAATCATAATTTTGGAAAATTTATCTATAAAATATAATAAAAATTATATTTTTAAAATTTACCACAACATGAAATCAAGGACCTTTCTTTTTTTTATTAACGGTTAATTTTATATTCAATTTCATATTCTCAATTTTTTTCAATTATTTTCAGAATGCTTTCAAAATTTTAAAAATCGTAGAAAAAAGGCAATAGGATGTTCGCTTTCTTAACTTATAATGTGCTCTCTGATAGATATGATGATAACTTGATTGTTAGTACTAAGTATCTTAGAGCTTATTGGAGTTTCAATTCTTACCTTGATTGGACTTGTTTCGATATCCAATATAATGAACAAGCAGACAATAATGGATATAGTTGGGTTCAAACAACCTTCGCAAATGGTGGTTGGTTCCCAGTCTTTACAGTAGATGATAACGTTAAAACAAAACTTCTTTGGAATAATCGCGGCAAAGCCAATTACAAAGGAGTATATGCAGAAACAAAGGTTGAAAAGGTTCCCCAACTTGGTGAAAAATATCTTCTTATTAAGTTCGAACTTACAAACAAGGACTCTCGTCCACATACTGTTGGTTTATCTTCACACACTGATGTCCAGATCAAATATAATGACTGGGCCACTTGTTATTGGTATGGTGCCCCAGCACATAGAGGTCTCACAATGAAAGATGAAGGTTCAGGAATTACCCTCACATTGCTTGTAAGAGGTGGCTACCAGGTTACTGATGCTGATAAGTTCTGGTTTGGCCGTTGGAGTGGTCCAAGGGGCAACCTTCACTATTTTGAAAATTACACATCTGATTCTCCATCCAGAAATCAAGATTCAGCATTTTCAGTTAGCTGGCAAGGACACCATATATATCCAAATCAAACACTTACCTTCTCTGTTCTCATGGGTGTAGGTCAAAACTTAAAGAATCCATCTATTTTGACTGTTAATGATAACTTCCAAACTAACTATAATCCAAATGCAAAGGTTACAATCAGTGGTACAGTTGATGACTTTGATAAAAATGAAAATGTCGATGTTTACTACGAATTCAACGGCGGTTCGCGTCAACATGTTAAACACTTCAGAACAAACTCTGGTGGATACATTGATAATGGCAATTGGAACTTCGAAATCACCCTTGGAAATGATGTCAATAGATATCCAATTAAAGTTTATGCCATTGATGAATTCGGCCTTCAATCTAACGTATTTGAAAGGGATCTCCTTGTTAACGAAAAACCAAGAGTTGTCTTCACAAAGGTACCATCTGAAGCCTACTACTTAGGCGGTGTTGTTGTTGTTGAAGGCACAATTTGGGATGATACCACAGCAACAATTAAATATCAAGTTGGTGAAAATGGATATATCTGGGAAACAGGTCAAAACTTCGACTGCCGCAGATCAACTTTGCCATTCCGTGTATCATTCCCTATCCCAGAAGATTATATACAGTTTGGACACCATAATCTGTACGTCTGGGCTGAAGATGAATTCGGCGTTAAATCAGATACAATCTCCACTCCTTTCGAATATTCGGCGATGCACGCTCCAGAAATTTCATTAGTTACACCACAAACTGAAATCCCAACAGTTTGCAGGAATCAAAAATTTTCAATATATTTCAAGGCCAAAGATCTTGATGCTGGTCAAACAGTTTTCGTTTATTATAAATTACCAGAACAAGATCCAACAGCACCACCAAATCAATATTTCAGCTTCAAAGTTAATGATTATCCAGATGGTATAGAAGAATCGTATGAATACACAGTTCCAAATAATTTCGAATTTGACCATGTATATGAGGTCATTCTTTTCTGTGTCGATAGCGCATCACCTCCAGCAAACTCTGCTGACTTGGTCTATAAGTTCAAGGTTGTTAAACAACCAACAGTTACTCCATCACCAATTCCAAACCCACCACAAGATACAGATAAGTATACAAATCAACCTGACTCAAGTTATTCCGGATACATTTCACCCTCTGATGTTCCAACAACAACATGCACATCAGATGTAGATGTCAATGGTGATTCATATGAATGGTGCTACCTCACAACAACAACAATTTACCTTAAGACAGACATTCCACCAGCAACACCAGATCCAACACCAATTCCACCACGAACACCAGGCGAAACTCCTGCCGAAACACCAGCACCATCTGTGAAAGAGGAGAATCCATGGGAAGACAATGCACAAGTCGGCTCAAGCCAAAAGTCAAAGACAAACAAGAAGAAGATGATCATTATCGGCGCCGCTGCTGGTGGTGTCGCAGCAGTAGCTGTTGTTGCAGCAGCAGTCTTAATCCATGAAGCTATCAAGCCACCGAAAGATTTCGTTTTCAACGATGAAAACGGAGAATTTGTTGAAGTCGATGGCAATGGCGCCATGGAGAATGCGGAGAACCCAATTTATGATGAAAATGGAGCTGATGATCCATTCGCAGACGAATTCGATGAGGATGAAGCTCCAGTTGAGGGAATCTTCCCTGCCTAAAATTAAAAATTCACCAAATTTTTATTAAACTATGATATATTTTTTATAACTGTGAGATGTGTATTACAATATATGCGATTAGATTCAAAATAAATCCGAAATTTTATTAAATTTGATTCAGATCCATATAAGAAATTTTCCAAACAAACAATCATATTTTAGATATACATCATGAATCAAATATCAAAAGCATCCAAAAATGCAAATTTGAAAAATGATCGGAAATATCAAACAAAAATACATGACTTTATAATAATATAATTAATACATACAAAAATTAAAGTATAAAAAACGCAAAATTAACTAAGCGATATTACATTTCGAACCGTATTTCTGGTTATAGTTCTCAATAGCATCTACAACCTCTTTATTTCCACAGTCCCTAGCAATATCTAGTGCCGATCTTCCTTTTTTATCAAGGGAAGTGTGATCAATTCCGGAATTTTTCGCTACAAGTTCAAAAACCTGCAAAGACTTTGTTGCAGCAATATGTAATGCTGTCATACCTTTCGATGTTGCAATTGTCTTGTTGATCTTCGAGCTCATAAATAATTGAATAATTTCGAGCTCTCCTCCCTCAACGGCCATGATAAACGCTGTTTTCCCGTCTTCATTTACCATATTTGGCTTTATATTTTTATTTTTCAGCAAGATTTTTACAGCTCCAATTTGCATTTTGTCAGTTGCAACATGAAGGGGGGTGCACCCCCAAATATCCCTTGCATTCACATCTATACCTTGTATTTCGAACAAAACTTCCATTACTTCTACCATTCCTTTTGAAGCTGCTGAATGAAGAGGTGTCCAACCAAATGGTTCTCTGCTGTTTATCGACATTCCGCATTGCAAACAGCACAACAAGATAAAGATGTTGTTTGATGCAGCAGCTGTTGTTATAACGAGTTTTCCATCTTTGTCGGGAAGTGTCAAATCACAAGTATCTCTTAGAAAATTGATGAAAACTTCGTTTCTGTGGTAAACAGCTGCGATTTGTGGTGTTCCTTCCATTGAACACCTCATTTGCATCGCATTGGTTATTATGGTTTCGGATCCGCCCATAACACAGTATTGAATAAATTTTCTGAGAATTTTTTCTTTCGGCATGTTTATTGGATGTTTTGTAACCATCGAATACCAAATAGAACTTGCTCCGTAGATGGCAATGAATATGTGCACTAATGACTCTTCCTTTATAACAGGACATGGCTCAAAAACATCCGCGGAAACCTTAAGTTTTTCGTCACTTTTCTTCTTGTTCATATATTCAATAAATTCTTTTTGGGCGTCACTTTTTACGATTTTTCGGAACTTTGAAGATGAAATTCCTGAAGGAAGTGTTGTAGTGTAAAAGGCAAACTTATTTTTCTGGAAATTATTGTATTTCTTTATAAAGTTCCGATAGCACTCTGGAAAGAAATCATCGTTTTCGTGGTTTTTCAGGATAGTGATCATAGATTGGTAAATCGGACAGTCATATTCGTAGAACAAGTTGGCAAACCAACAGAATGGAAGACACAAATTGTTTTTGTTCGGAGTTTTTTCGTACAAATAATGAAATTCTCGGATTAGCTCTTGATCTTTGTAAACACCCATCCTATTCAGAAAGAATATGAACTGGACAGCACCAATATAATCCGGAAGAGGCTCAACGTACATGATTGCTTTAATAAAATTTGACATAAATAATTTCGGCAAGTCGGAGAATTGCGGGATAGAAGTGATCAAGCGATTAAATAGGTCGGCGATCTCTTTTATCATAAGGAATCTGCACTGCGTCGCTGTTAAGAAAAACGATACAATATGTTCTTTATCTTTGGCCGGCTTGACGTGCTCAGAGATCAGCCGGAATGTATAGTCTATGTTTCTGTTGGTAACAGAGAGAATACATTCTTGTAACATGATATATCGTATCGCCAATTTCTTTCCTTTGTTTGAGAGTAAATTAACTTCATTGGCAATCAAAGCCATGCTTTTGAAGTATTTTTCTGAGACATTATCGTTCAGTTTATTAAGATAATTAAAATAAGTCTGATCTGTTGCTCCTTTTAGGAAAAGTTCGATATTATAAACAAGTCTGTTTTGAATGAATCTCGCTGTAGGTCTTTGTAATGGATCTATACACCAGCATTGGAATAAAATTGATTGTAAGAAACCAGGCATCATTTCTGTAACAATTGGAGTGTAACCTCGACGCATTACTTCTACCATTCTTCGAAATATTGATTCTATGGTTACAAGTGTCTTTGGAGAGAACATTGTAAAAATGCAAGTTCCAAATTGGAAAATATCTGATTTCTTTGATGGTCTGAAATCAAATCTCAATTCTGGTGGCATAACTGTCATTTCAAGAAGCTTCATATCTTCAGAATCTGTATAATATAATTGATATAGGCCGTAAGCAACGAGATGTGGGCATGAATCATTATCAATTACTAACAGTTTTGATGATATATCATGACAAACTATATTGTTGTCATGTAAGTATGCAATTGCTGAAATTAAAGCGATAATATAGACAAAAACTTGTTGAAGGGTAAGTGATGGTGGTTCTGATTGTGCTCTTTGCTTTTTAAGATGTGAGTAGACACTAGTAGTTCCTTCTGTGTTATAAAAAATAAACAAAGTATTTTTGCCATCTGCTGGTAAAAAGAATTTAACTGGTATTGCAATAGCAGGATGATTGAGTTTTCCATATGTTTCTATGAGAGTTTCTAAGAGTTTGTATCTTCTCTGTGTGGCTCGAAAATTTGGAATTACAGCTACAGCAAAATTCTGTTTTGAATGTTGTTCTATAACAATCCATACATTCATATATGGAGAAGTACTTATCTTAAGTGTAAACTCATAGCCTTCTAGAGTTGGACGTTCATCCATATAAAATGTAACAAAAAAAAATTTTTTTGACAATGATGATTTTATAAAATCTTATACTTATTTTTATGATATTTCGACTGTTTACTGCTTAGACTAAATATAGTGTAATAAACAGAAATTCATCAAAAGTGACAGCTCTCAATTTTTTGACATTTGTAAATTCTAAATTGAATGAGAAAAATGAAATAATACTAAGCATAATACAATATTCTAGATTTAATTATAATTAGGAAAAAGTTAGTTTTGAGAGTACTTTTCATAGGCATATAGAATGAAATCTTCTGAAAAATAATATCACATAAACTCATATTATTTTCTAATATATAACTATTTTATATAAAAATCAAATTCAATGATCTTAAAAGCGAAGAGAGGTAGGGCAACGATAGGTCAAAAAGGCTTCTCTGATAGATTTCCTTGCCTTTTGGATATGCTATAATATATAGCCTAGCATGATAGGATATGATGTCAAAAGTTAGAACATAACTTAGGATCTTGAGAAAAATGAAAAACAAAAATTACATAAAAAAAGAAAAATTTTATCTAATTTGTTTTTTTGGACCGAATAAGTAATTTTATTGAATTTCAATACGACACATAGATTTTATTATTAGTAATAAATATAATGGTTTACTATTAACAAGGAACCTAAAATAATGAAAATTTGATTTCAAATATTGTATATGATTATCATAGATTACCAAAATATATTGCTATTTATGAGGATATAATATTGATTATTAGTAAATCGTATAAATTTAATAAATATACCATGAATATTGAATGAATTTCTTGATTCATAGGGGTAAAACGCGCTTTTATATGATTTAGACAGAGAATTTATGAGATGTAAATAACACAATAAAGGTTTATATTGAATATTTTCTAAAAATAAATCGAAATTATAAAAAACAATACATTTATTCATTGAAACTACTTGGACAAATATGAAACAAGCATTCAGGCAATACTTTTGAGACTTCAACGCATCTGATAATTTTTATATAACTTCACCTCTTATGCTTAGAGTGGAGGTATTGAGATCGTATAAGTATAGATGAGCTCACATTCAGATATGATGTGTGAACTTCTGTTTTCACTGCAATTTTGAATCAGAATAAACTCAAAACAAGAATAAAATGATATACTCACTCTCTAAATGTGTTCGAGATTTAAAGTTGTATGAATAAAACGATTCATCTTTCGAAGCCTCCCATTTAATGAGAGACTTCGAAAGATGAATGTATTCATGTAGATGAAATACTATATATGACCATGTGTGATACTAAAGATATCAAAATGTTCATTTTTAAGTGCAATAGAAGGGTTATCTCTCGTAAAATCTCAATTTAAGGAAGATTTAGAAAGAACTCCTTTCCTAAGTAGATAGTGTGTGGTTTCTGTCTTTTGGTTGATCAGGAACTATGAAATTAAGTCGGACAGAAAGAAGTTCTTTCCAAAACAGACTCCAAATGAGTTGTTCGAAAAGAACTTCCTTCTGTATATGGATAATTGTAGTTACCGCACTGAAGTATGTGATTGTGATGATGGAGTTCTCGATAAATCTAAAATCGGATTAAGATTAATTGAAAACTCAAGTAATTCTTTGAAATCTTGTGTTGTCTGGCACTATAATAACCAAAGAATGAGAATATTATGTTGAATGATGAGTACGTGTGCTCGGCATTCGCCGAGCGAATTGAGTTTAACGTACTATGAAAAGTGACAAATTTGGGCTTTTTTTCCTAGGGTTATGATCTCTTCCTTTCTGCTCAATACGACAGAAATGAAAGAATGAATTTGTACTCCCTAATTGATTACTACAATCTGTATCTATCTTTAACATAGAATTAGCTGCATTGTGATTTATACTCCAGAATTATTCAATTTAAGATCAACCTCGTAAATTTTAATCATATTGCACCAATACTCCTACGTTGAGATAAGAACATGATTATACATACCAAAGCCCCATATTAAAAATCAAAATTTAGCACCTCCATTATGCAACCACATTATTCGTCGCAAATAAGTATATTTACGCATATTATGATGCATATTCACACAACTCGTATACATGAAAAGTTATTAAAATCAGACAAAATTATTGCAATAAGGAAAAAAAACAACTTTATTATATATGTTAGTAATGAATTACAAATATTTCTACAAAGAATGCTCAATACTTCATATAATCTTCGAATATTTCTTATTACAAGTTAATACATTTTGACTCGAACATGATAAACAAAAGCTGACACGCTGATTACTACATTTATGAAAATATAGTACGTTTCCATTCATCTGTTTACTTGTTTTTGTTGGAATAAAATCATTTTTTTTTCTTTCATGAAATAAGAATTTTGCTGCGAAAGCAATATCTCTAACAATAATTAATACATTACGTCAACTCTGGAATGAGTATTTATCAAATATGATATCAAAATCAAAAATTAGTTGTTTTTTATGAGTAAAAACGATGTAAATTGATTATTTGACTAATTATCAAATACTTTGATTTTCCAAATTTTTTTCGAAATTGATTTTTTCATGTGAAAATTCAAATTGTTTAATTTCATTTTTGAAATTTTGAATTTTTTTTGGAATTTTGAGTTGATCAATTCAGCAGAATTGATAATGCTATTGCTTTAGGGCATACCACAAGGTGATGAATAAAAGGTGAACATTAACAAATTATTTTAAATCACAAATATCATCCTCATCAACTTTAATTCTAAAAAGAACTGTACTGAATTATGAAAATGCATGATTTACATTATTAAAATCTTTGAATGAAAATAGTACAAGATAAGTTTTTATTCATTTTTAATTAGATTTAAACGAAAAACTACTCCATATTAAAATTTAAGTCGAGAAATCGTATTTTGTTCTTATTTGTTAGCATTTTGTAGACATTCTAATCTTGAATTAATTTGTTACATGATATTATTAACAAATTTAACTGAAAAAATATGTTAATATGGAATAAACCATGATTATATAAGCTATCAATGCTATATATACATATGTAAAAGATTCATATTAACTCAATTAACAAAAATGATAGATTTTCATAAAGGTTCAATCTAGGTTCGTCCGAAAATTTTGATTTTTATATAGAAGACATAGTTTCATATACATAATTAAATTTTCAAACAAATTTGATCATACCATTTATTAAGCAGGATAGTATATTAATTACTATCAGTATAAAAATATAAAAATGATTATATTTAATTATTGCATAATTTAGTCAAAGAGTTATAAGCCTCAAGTGATCGTTATCACCTTCAATGCACGTATACTTTATTGATTCATAGATATTTAATCTATGTTTGACATGTTGTTGTCGTCATTCGTTTTGTTCCCATTCTTCCTAAGTTAGAATTAGAGAATACACCATCCACATCATCTAATTTGGTCCTCAGCGATAGATTGGTTCATTTTGGAGGAGTCCCATCAGACAGTTTTCGAGCACCAAATATCAAATTTTAATGTATACAAATCTTTAGTGATTTATCTCTTTTATGATGAGTAAAAGGTTTCTGCTCATCAACATTTGATTTCCGACATATATGATTTCTAATTGCAATTATTTACTTTCTTTTTATAATCTAACTCTGTGACTCATACCATAAATTAATTATTGGAAAGTGTCAATATGTTTGGCACAACGCATGGCGGAAGATACCAAACCATGCAGGGAATATGATACGTTTAAGATCTCCGAACTTTTTTTCCAAAAATTTTCTATCGTTGCCCTACCTCTAAGCGAAGGATAAACCTCAAAATTTACGAATATAATGAGTGGGAATATAATGCTTATCTATCATAAAACGATATGAAATATCAACTTTTGCTTTACGCCTAATTTTTGACGACAATTAGCAAAAAATGTTAAATGTTAACACTCAGTCCATTTGAATATGAAAAATTTTTTGGATCAAATCCATTTTAATAGAATTTATATACTATTCATCTATTAGTAAACACTACCGTATATTATTTTTTAAGCTATCTTATTTTTTGAAATTTTATTCAAATCTTTGGTCGCAAGAAGAATTGCATGATAAATAAAAACATTTAATCAAAGTCAATTTTATTTTTCATATTCAAATGGACTGAGTGTTAACATTTAACATTTTTTGCTAATTGTCGTCAAAAATTAGGCGTAAAGCAAAAGTTGATATTTCATATCGTTTTATGATAGATAAGCATTATATTCCCACTCATTATATTCGTAAATTTTGAGGTTTATCCTTCGCTTTTAAGATCATTGAATTTGATTTTTATATAAAATAGTTATATATTAGAAAATAATATGAGTTTATGTGATATTATTTTTCAGAAGATTTTGTGTTCTTCTTCAAAATTTTATTTTTTATTAAAAAGAATCTTTACAAAATATACATTTACTTTAATTAATATTTAAAAACGTGCTCTATCAAAAGTTCCAAAAATTCAATATTTTAGCTTTTCTGAGGTGTCACTTTTGATGAATTTCTGTTTACAACAATAGACTGCGAATAGATTGTTGGCTCTTGTTTTGAAAATCCAAAATCATATTTTTCATGGGTGGGATGAGGTGAGGCGCAATATTGATATTTTTATTGCTTACATCTTTAGGGAATATGCGTACCTGAAGCGCAGATTGCATAAATTAAAAACAAAAAATCATTTTAATATTATTCTACAAGTCTCCATTTCGCTTGTGAAGCAAATTCATTCTCTGTTGTTAAACTTCTTGTTGATAATGGCGCTGATGTCAATGCAAAAGCTTTTTCTTTTAACTAAGGAGATAAAAAAGATGAAAGAACATTTGGGGAAACTCCTTTACACATTTCATGCAGACTTGGCAACCTCGAGATTGTTAAATACTTAATTGAAAAAGATGCTTCACTCAATGAATCTTGTGATAATGGAGATTTATCATTGTCAGCAATTCATTTTGCTGCAATGAGTGGTAATGTTGAACTTGTTACTTTCTTAGTTGAAAAGGGTTGTGACATTAATGCTAAATCACCAGCAAACACGCAGCCAATAAATTATGCAGTACAGTCAGCAAATATCAATTTAGTTAACTACTTTATTGAGAAAAGTGAAGATGTTAACGTAAAAGCAAAATTATATTCAAAGAAATCAACAGGAGTTACTCCATTACATATTTCATGCTTTGTTCATGATGAAGAGATCGCCAGTGCACTTATTTTTCATGGAGCAAATGTTAATGAAAAGATAGGAGAATACAATGGAAAGAAGAACTTAAGCATCATTCATTTGGCTACAATTGAAGATTCGCCTTCTATTGTCGAGATTTTGGTTAAAAATAAAGCTGATGTCAAAGCTATTGATGACGAAGGAAAAACATGCCTTATGACTGCCGCTGAGAACAGCGCATTTGAAAAGAAGTGCCTCCACTCTCAATTTTGAGTTTTTTGGCCAAAAAATATGGGAAAATAAATTCTTTGTATATCATAGATTCTAAATGTGTGCTCATTTTTGATTTTTAATTTTACGTAAGTAATCTGACATTCTCACTTTTTGAGAATCTACATGTAATAACAAATATAATTTTCGTAAAAAGAAGCAAAAATAATTGAAAGGAACTAGCTAATTTTTGCCATTTCTTCAGAAATTTGGGCACATGAGTTAATGGAAGTTTCCTTAGATCGAGTTAAATTTTCAATGGATTCTATGTATTTAAAGTATTTAATGTGTAATTCATTATATAAGCTACTATTAAATGCTCGTGCTTTTGGTGTTTTCTGTATTTTGCTTTTAACCAGTGAATTTCATATCTAATTCCGGTGAAGGTGAGGGTAGTACAATCCTTAGTTAGGCTTTTACTATCACCTACTAGATCCGTATTTACCTGTTAAGTATCAAGCCAAATACTCCAATATTTAGAGTGGAGGCACTTCTATTTGAAATCGCAGAATTTCTCATCAAAAAATAATTGGCTGACAGAAGATTATGATGAATTTTCTATTTAGTTTTAATATATAACTTATTATGAAGCAAAATGTTGTTATTCAATTGAAAGGCTTGTAAACGTTAAATATGATGCGAATTTAAATCATATTTAATGTTCTCTTCCTTTAGCATACTTACTGCTTCAGCATCAAGAACTCAGTTTGCCTCATGCATGCGTGGTGTAAACTATAACTACACCAAAAATCCAAAATACCGCCAGTTCACTACAACTGCTTACATAACTGTTCCAACTACATTTGCTGGTAAAACGGGCCATATATATGGCGCATTTTGTCCTCCAACAACAGGGAATTACAATATCAGAGAATACGGCGGAGATTGGGGCGGCGTTTGGTTTGAAAGTTCTTATGCAGGAGATGATTATGCCACCGGGATCGGATCTTGTGTCGGTCATGATAATGTTGATACAATCACAAACCTCTATCTTCAAAAAGGAAAGTGCTATAAATTTACAACATAGGCAATTGCAGATGGTTGCTATAGTAATAAATTTAACTATGCACAATGGTCATATACAAGTCCTGAAAGCTATTCAACTATGGATTCCTCAAATACGTATAACTGTACTATTAGTGGCGAATGCGATGTTGGTTATGTTGGCAGCAACTGTGAAGCAGTAGACTTAGATTGCCATAATAACGGCGTTCCAAGTGATGGTGTTAGTGGGGATAAAAATACCCGTGTTTGCACAAATGGACTTGAACCATTCTGTGATGATATGACAACTGTAGATTCCGGTCATCAAGACCCAACTATCACGTTTACATATGGAAACATTGTAGATAAGTCTGAGTCTATTAATGTTGGCCAAGATACTGTCTATTACTCCTCTAGTTACGCAAATTATTCTGTTAAGGGAAAAATTACAATCCCTCAGAATGGAGACTACAGATTTAGAATATCTAGCCAAAATGATGTAAAGTTTACTATATCCGGAACTTCGATATCAATTGGTAGCATTGATTACGATAATCAGTTCCAATGCCAAGAAGATAGAATGAGAACATATGAAACAACAAACACAGTTACCCTTACTAAGGGTGACTATAACTTTGAAATCAAAGGTTTAAGTGGTTGTGCGATCGAAGATCAATACTTCTCACTGGAATGGATTTTCTACAGATATTACATATCTTCAGGCAAGACTGCTGTTTATACAACAGTTCCAAGAAGATATTTAAAGGCTGCCTAAAATTATATATGTTTTCATTATAAAAATTACGATATATTCTGAAATAACTAAATATTTTATACAGAAACAAGATAAGTAATTGGACTATCTCGCATATGTTCGTTTTGGGTTCAAATAATGATATGCAGATATTTTATTTTGATAATTAAATGCTAAAGGCATGCATATTATATTCTAAACATGCATTTTACTCAACTCTGATGATATTAAACAAATCTCAATACCAGATCGTTATATTTTGAAATTAAATTTATATTATTAGAAAATTCGAATTAAAATAAAGGTAAAAAGTGAGAAAACATATGCAGCATAGATGACATTTAGCTTTATTAATAAACAATTTTAAAATAAAAATATAATCTTAAATAGTACAAGGGTTATATTCGAAACTTAATTACTATTGCTTTTTGAGAATGAATGATTGCAATTGTAAGGCTTTGAGAATTTCAAATTAAATTTCAGCCAAAAAGATACCAAACAATGAAGAACATCAAAAACCCAATTAACCCTCCGAGGACTAACCTATCTCTTTTCCTTCTGACTTGAATTCCTTGAGCAAGTTCTCCAATGTATGGGATTCCTTGAATAATCGTTGTGAGTCTGTCATTTGCAACGCTAATTGAGTTCATTTGCTCTGTCATTCTAACATTTGATTCAGATGCGATTCCAATTGCATCATCAACCATTTTTATACTGTTCATTAACGATGTATTTTCTTTGCTAAGTATATCCAGCTTTGAATCACTGCCTGATGTTGGATTTGGGTTGGTAAGTGCTGTTGGTTTTTTTCCATACATGATTGAAAAATAAAAAAAAACATTCCGATCACAAATTATTTTTCATTCGTAATATGGCTGATATCGTAATATATTGCTTAGCGCTGCTTGAGAGATGGTGACAAATGATATCAAAATGACTTTAATTCTAAAATATCTAATGTATTTTCGCGAATTATCATTATTTCCGGCTATCTACCAGATATTTAGATATTACTCGGGCTTGGTAGAATATTGCAACTCTTTGTATAAAAGAACTAACAATTTTTATTGGAGATCGAGTTATAAAATTTTTCAATTTGAGCATTTTTATGCGATATTGTACATAGATCAATATTTTCAAATAAAAATTTCTATGAGTATTGAAAATTTTTGTCGATCAGTTTTATAAATGACTGTAGATTTAAAGCGACTTATTATCGATACAGCAAAGAATGCGATTGAAACCGAGTCTGCGTTCTTCTTACATTCATGCAAGCCAGCGTTTGATCTAATCGATAAAGGTGTAACATTTAAAATTAAACAATGGAATGATGATTTAAAGAAATTCTTTAATCAAATCAAAAATGACAAATTAGATCCGCTTAGACCACCATTTGGAAACAATCTTTTTATAACCAAATTACCAGGAAACAATTTAATTGTTAATAAATTTATGAATGAAATCGGCCATGTTCTTTTTGCATCAGAAGATAATGATGCAAATCAAACAATTCCAATGACATTACAAGATTTTGAAGCTCTTTTAATGGTATTTGATGCTTTTGGCGATGGAATTGGATATTATAACTGTGGACCTCAAAGTGGTAATTCTCAAAACCACAAACACTTCCAGTTCCAACCAATAACTATATATCCATTATTTACAATGATGACAGAGCACAAAGAATTACCATTTGAATATCGAGTTGAAGAAATAACACAATGGGATCCGCAATCAATATACGATTTATATATTAAACTTACTCAAAATCTTCCAACTGATTCATACAATTTTATAATGAACAGAAAGTTCGCAATTGTAGTTCCAAGAACCCAAGGAACTCATCCAAAGAAGATAGTTCTAAATGCAATTAGTTTGTGTGGAATTCTCGCATTCGGAGATATCACTGATCCTTTCATCAAAGAGAATCCGCTCCAAGTATTAACTGAAGCCTGTGTTGCAGCAAAACACTAAACACCATGTAAATGTATTAATAAACTGTTACTTAACTAATATTGTTTTATTTTTTAGAAAACAATATGTAAAGTATGTGATTTAATGACGTTGATTAACAATTGTGAAACTTGTGATTAATTTCAAGTTCAATAAGCTTAAAATTGATATCATATTTTTAAAATATTAGAAAGTATTTTAATAGCCATTTCGACATTGATTGTACGATGGCTTCCATTCTATTAAGAATCGATATTTAGTCATTGAACTATTACTCTAATCAAATTTTTGATTCAGATATTCCATTTTGACAAAACTAGCATAGCACAGTTCAATTATGATCTATAAATAACGAATTTATATCCAAACATTGGAAGTAAATGCATACAATAGCTCTTTCAAATATGGAGAAATGAAATATTCTTTATAAGGATTCGATTATTAGTGATTTTTTATATACTAAGGATGACTGTTGTTATATTACATATATTTGAAGTCTTCAATATTTGGAGTGAAGAAAAAATAATCCAATTTTTTTTGAAATAAAAAATGCTTAGCCTTGATAACTTTGAACAGACAGTAACATTAAATCAGCCATTATGCCAGCAGCAAATGAGAGCGTGTCGACCGAACTTTATTTACTATCCAACAACATTTCTTCTAACATTTTCAGTTGTTCATCTTGTTTTATCATTTTTCATAACAGGAATATCATTTGGCTGGCATCAAGTGATGTTTCGCTATGATAATGTTTGTAAAGAAGGCGAATTATGCAACATTTCATTCAATGTTGCTTACAAATTGAAAAAACCTGTTTATATCTATTATCAATTAGATGAATACTATCAGAGTCATTTTAGATTTCGTCAATCATTTAACTATTATCAACTTCATGGAAAAAATCAAACAAATTTACAATCATGCCATCCTAGAATAACTTATCCTGGAAATAACACTCAACTGGCCCCATGTGGTCTCCGCGCATATTACATGTTTAGAGATACTTTCGATATTCCTAATATGACACCAATGAATACAACCCTCTCTTGGGCTCACGAAAAAGGTAATTTATATAAGAACTTGAGCAATGCTTATACAAGCGAACAGCGTTGGATGCGCGAAATCGAACCTGATGAAATTTTATCAGATCGCTTCGAAATTTGGAACAGAATCTCCCCAAGTCCTAAAGTACGAAAGCTTTACTCAGTATATAACCAATCAATTAATGAAGGAAATCATACAGTCCAAATCAAAATGTTAACTCCGATAAAAGAATACGGCAAGACCAGACATTTTGTTTTAATCTCGCAGTCAAAAAGTGGTGGAAGGAACTTCACTTTAATTGGAATTAACTGCTTAATTTGTTTTGTTTACGTTGTTGCCGCTTTAGCATCTTCAATTATCCAATACCGACTGAGGAAGGATCCTGCCCGCACTTTAAGAAGAGATTCTGGCTTTATTTAACTAATTTTTTATTTCATTTTTTATTGTTTCGAATATTTTATTAAAAATTTGTGGTATATTTTAATTAAATAATTTAGTACGTTTTATTTCAATCAATATATAGTTGTTTTGCCTGACAAATTATAATTCTTACCATTTTCCTTAGGAAAGAATTTCGACAATGTATGCCATTTTCTCATTAAAATGAAAACATATATTTGCATGTAGAGTAAAGTCAATACAGGAACTCCATAAGCTCGTATTAATCCAATTTTACTTCAAATTCATAAATTTAATTATATCATTGTTAATAGAATTTCAGCGTTTTAAAAATATAGCATTTTCCAAACCTAATATACAAAAACAATTTATTTTTTTAAAACAATATATGTTGTATAGAGTAGATTGATAAATAACCAAAAATTCCTTCCAAATTTAACAAAAATTCTGTAGGAATCTAATTGTATTTTAATGGGAAGATGTTTTGCATTGTCAAAGAATCTCTATAGCATTTAATAAATTTAGATAATATCCTCTTTTTGTAGTAAATATTATCGTGTTTTGTCTGAATGTTAAGACGCGTGATGTATTCGTCAATTTGGAATCCAGAAAGTGCTATTTGTTTGCACAGTTCAATTGTTTCGTCTGCAATGTGAAATGTTGTTGGAGAAGATTTTCTTCGTTTTCTTCGGTCAAAGATCGAAATAATCAGCAAAAGAAGCTCAATAATTCCTCTGGCATTCAATGTAGTAATTGTGAGCGTAAACTCATTGTTCAAAGAGCTGTCTGACTTCAAACAATTTACAATTTCTTTTGTATGCTCACCTGTTGCGAAAAGAAACGCTCTCCATGCTGATTGCTGTATTTCTGTATCATTTGAACGCATCAAAGTCAATAAATAAGAGATACATTTCACATTATTTTTCATGAAATCTTTTGCATCCTTTAAATAGAGGAGTTTGCCGAAAGAATGGATAGTATATGGATTGGGACTTGGATCCCTAAGGTATATCAGCAAATCCTGCAAAACATTATTGAGAATTTGAGGATCTTCTCTGGAAGTAAATATTTTTGACTGGAAATAGCAACAAATCGAATGAATTGCGTACGAGGATTCCGGAGTTCTGTATGCCAACAATGAATTAACAAAAGCAGGGATATAATTTGAGGGCATTTGTGGATAATTCTTGATATTCATGATGAAAGCCCACTGCATAGTCTTAATAGATAACAAAGATAAGCTTCCGATGGTTTCGAATGAAGGATCGTTCATATCTTTCATTAATATTCTGAATAACAATACCAAGTTATCTTTTACTTTGATGAATGGCATTATTATCTTAATGTAATCCGGCTCTGATAATTTTGAGATCTTATTTAAGTCGGTGAAGAAATTTGGAATCGAATCTAAAAATTGATATGCAATTTCATGATCGCATGCTAATAATACATTGTATATTGGAACTATATACTTCATTTTCTCTAAATTGATGTCGTTATGGACAAAATCTGTAATATTTAATTTGAACATTTTGAATAATCCTGCAACTTGAACCGTATAGCCATTATAGAATTCATCGAGCATTTTGATATGTTTCGCATGATCTGGGTACTCTTTGACGAAAAATTCATTAAAAATTTCAATAATGTTGTTTTGAGCCATAACATTGATTGAATGTATTATAATTGGATCACAAGTAAGATCTCTGATAATTGGAAATACGTTTTCTGCGTAAAATTCCTTTTTTGATGGAAAACATTTCGATATAATGTATCCTGTCATTAAAAAAGCATAATTGTTCTGTGTAAGTCTCAATAAAAAGGAAAATTCTTCAGTAATAAACTGATTCGATATAATTTTGAGAAAAGTAAAACAATCTTTGCCATTTAAGTCAGGATTCAATCTGGAAAGTGTTCCAATTAGTCTTGATGTATCTACTTTGCCATTCCGATCAATTAGTTTGGACATTAATGTATCTGTATCGAGAGATTTTATCAAAAAGCTCGTTTTCTGTTTAACTGATTCGTATTCTTGAGATATGTAATCGCATCCATGCTGTTCGTATTCTTCGATATAATTCGGAGTTTTTTGAAATATTTTTGGTAAAAGACTTGATTTTTGCAATTTTTCTTCAATATCATTCTCCTTATTGACAGGCTTCTCCTTGATAGGGCCATTCTTTACTGTATATATGAAGTTTCTCAATAATTTATAGTTTGAAACTTTCAAATTTTCGAATCTTTTGTAATCTGGCATTTGGTTTGTATTTACCGGTGATTTCTTAGGTTGGAACTCAACAAATTGCTGTTTGTTTTGCATTATATTCCTCGATTCAAATTCATTTTTCCTTGTTATGAGGAGATTTGTGTTTTCAAACCATTGTTCGTACGCTTGTTCAAATTCTAGATATGTGTCAAACATGGCAGCTTGTGGCGGATAAGCAATCATAAAATAGCCATATTTTCTTTCTTCAGAAAATACGTCTCCGAACCTGAATTGCTTCCTTCTGGCATGAAAAGGTAGTTCTAATGTCGATGGATGATTATTTCCTTGTAGAATCTCTTCTGTAAGCCAAATTTTATTATTGGATAAAATTAGCTGAGGTGTTTTATAGCCTCGAACATACGCTCGCTCAACTCCGATTGGTATCCTTGAATATGTGAATGAAGCAGATATGGGAAAGATGTATTTTGCGGAATATTTATTAAATTTTTTCTTCCATTTTAAAATCTCGATCTCATAATCTTTAAATGTTGATGATTTCGAAGGGAGCGGTATCATTTCTGGTCGTTTTTTTGGTTTTTTAATAATCAATGAATAATTTCCGGTTTCAAACGATACAAAATTAGTTGTAAACTCTTTTGGTACTATCTCTTTTGGATTCCCATCGCCGTTTGACGTCCCATCAGTCTGGATAGGAATAAGCATGTAAAAGAGTTTTCAAATAATTTTTTTATATAAATGTGTCAGATTGTCTTCAATTTTGATTTTGCGACAATTTCAATGTTGCATGTTGCCAATGGGTGTGACTCAAAGCCATGTTACATTAAAAAACTGTATTTTATTTACTGATTCGAACTTGCGATTGTGAGAAAAATTTCTGAACTCCACTTTAATCCGACACTTCAGTCATTCCTGTTATTGAATCGCTTTAGCCTAGATCGGGTGTGTTTGTGGAACAATGCAGAGGAATGACAACGCCCATGGACCTTATTCAAAATAATTCATTGTTCAGCCAGAGCACTGTTTTATTATTCCTGATAACAGTGAATTGAAACATAATAAGAATGTACGTACTTATAAAGTTTAAATGTGATTAGTAATTTTAAATCATCTAGACAATCTTTTACTATTTACTAATCATATAAACAATCTTTTGGTATAAACGTAGTTCTTCACTAACTCTATTATAACAACTGTATTTTCGTGTAAATCGGAAAAAATTAAATAATTTTCCAAATTTCATTCACTTGTTTTAGAAATTCGATATTTTGGAAACCACTATTTACGAGTTTATTACTAATAGAACTTGATAACAAAAGAAAAAAAATATTAAGATATTGAAAGGTGTATATTTTATTAAATTATGTTTAATGTATCATATTTGATCACTATTATCTGCACCGTAAGAATAGTCTGAATAATAGGAAGGATTATCATTATCAGGTACCTCTTCAGCTTCTTTTGGTAATTCGATATGATTTGAATCATCTTTATTTTCATTTGATTCTTTTGAATCAGAATGAATGTTTGGATCTTATTTGCTGCTCTCTTTGTTATCAGTTTCTTCATGAGTTTCTTCCTTTGGTGTTGAATTATCAACAGGTTCACTCTTCTTTGTGATATCAGTTAGAAGTTGTCTTGAAACGAGATTGTAATAAGCTCCTTGGTGAGAAACAAGCTCATCATGAGTTCCTGATTCTACGATCTTTCCTGCATCAAAAACAAAGATGATATCAGAGTGTCTGATTGTTGACAATCTGTGAGCAACAATAATAGATGTTCTATCCTTCATGACATTATCAAGCGCTGCTTGAACTTTTCTCTCTGAACTTGAATCAAGAGCTGAAGTTGCTTCATCGCAAAGTAAAATTGTTGGATTCTTTACAAGTGCTCTTGCAATAGCAATTCTTTGTCTTTGGCCACCAGAAAGAGAAGATCCTTTTTCAGAAACCAGTGTTTCATATTTCATTTCCATTTTTTCAATGAAATTCTTTGCATTTGAAAGTTCACAAGCTTTTTCGATTTCTTCTTGAGTGCAATCTGGATTTCCATATTTAACATTCTCTGCAATTGTAGTACTGAACAATGTTGGTTCTTGGTTAACAAGCCCAAACTTTTTGTGCAAGAATCTTGGATCGTATTCTTTTATGTCTTTTCCGTCAATTAAAATCATGCCTTCAGAAACATCATAAAATCTTTCTAACAATTGGACGCATGTTGATTTACCACTTCCTGAATGTCCGACAAGAGCAGCATGAGTGTGTGGCTTAATTTCAAATGATACATTTTGTAAAACATCAACAGGTCTTGTAGGATATCTAAAGGTAACATTACAGAATTTAATGTGACCTTGGAAATTATCAACCTTATCAATTCCTCCTTCGAAAGGAATTGCAGGAACATGATTACAAAGTTTGAGAATACGAGCACCTGCAGCAATGGCTTTTTGTTCACCACTAACGCTTCCTTGGAGAACCATGATACCCAATGTTCCGAACATTGTAAACATCATACAAGCCATCATATCTCCAATCAAAAAGTCATTCTTTCCACTTTTCATGGATTTCTCAACTAAAGTTGCTGCAAAGTATAAGTTCAAAATAACATCAACCCATAAAGCAACCATGATAAAGAAGAACAACACTGCCACTAAATAACCTGATGACTGCTCATATTTTGCAGATTCTAAAGATAATTTCTTGAATCTCTCAATTTCATCATCTTCCCTATTGTAACCTCTTACTGTTCTTATTGATGCTAGTGTTTCTTCTGCTAAAGTGACTGATTTAGAAAGAGATTCAAATCTGATTGCATTCTTCTTACCCAAAATTGGACCAAAGATTCCAATGATGATCATAGCAACAGGTATAACAGCGCATGAAATAAGAGCAACTTTCCAGCTGTAAACAAAAGCCAAAACAATTCCAATGAGGAATTTTGCAAGATTTTCTATTTGCTGATATTTTACAGAGCCAAATGAAAGTTGAATCATCTGCGAATCTTCAGAAGGTAATGATAATACTGAACCAATTGGCGTTACATCAAAAAATGTGACTTCGCATTGCATTAAATGATAAAAAAGTTTCTTTCTGAGTTTTGTAGAAAGTCTTGTGCCTAATCTGACCCAAATTATCTTTCCAACAAAGCTGCATAAGCCACATAAGACTGCAATGCCAACAATCCATAAAAAATTTTTGATTATATAAGGCATTTTATCAACAATTGGTACTGATGGATCCTGTTCGTGAGCTTTGACTGAAACTGCATAGTCTGTATGAGCATTTAATATATTGCCGAAAAATAAATACACCAAAATATTAGATCCTCCTGTGACAAGTGCAGGGAAAATGCCAATAATTGCCCATGGATTTCGGAATAACTCGCCATATAAATGGCCACGAGCTTCCTTTTTATCTGATTTTTCAACTTTGATTTCTTCATGTGAACTTGAATCCCTCCTACTATGCTGTGAAGAGTATTCGGATGAGTGCCTTTGCTCTTCTGGCATTCTAAATTTTTAATGTTTGGATCACGATGAATACAATTTGGATCACACTCGCAAATTTTCTGAGTAAATTATGCAAATTTGAATAATTCGTCAAATCACAAACTTTTATGTTATTAATTACAATAGATATGATTTTTTTCTCCAATTTTTCCCATTTGTCACTTTGAATTGGTTTAACTTTTTAAGGAATTCGTCTTGTGATAGGATTGCATCTGTATTTCAAGAAATTGAGGATAATTTTTCAAGTGATCGCAAATTTCAGAGAATTACGTAATAGAAAATGAAGTTCATTCAATCAAATAAATGAACGTAAGCAATTGCTCCCATAATCACTAGGCAGTCATTCCGCAAATTCAGATCAGAAGTGGGCAATTTTGGAATCGGTATTCTGTGTAATTTATATATTGATCCATATTTTTTTAAATGAAGCCTTATTGGAACTAATCGTTCAAATCCGCCAAAGCGTATTTATGGCGGCAAATTCTTCTGAATAAATAGTTTATATCTAGATAATATTTTTTTTGTTATATAACTTTGTTATAATGATTGATACACATTAATCTTTTATAATACGTTGCAATCCTAGATAATCAATCGTAAAACAATGAATGATAAAATTCGATCTCTCAAAATCTACTAGATTTTGTATTTTATCAAAACCCATCAATTATACTCCTTTATTATATCAATTTGTTTTATAATTTTAATTATAATTCTTCAATGTTCTTTCTATTTGTTTTTAGCAAAAGTGAAGACTGCACATATTCTTTTGAAAACGAAGTTGGTATGAGCACTTATCATGTTGACATTACAGATGAAGACTCTGTTTGCATGGATTTGCTCTATTATCCTTCATTTGTTATTTTTCAAGACTTTAATGAAGATACAATGTTTACTACATCATCGTCATTAACATGCGAAAATGAAACATATACATCAAAAACAACATATGTTCGATATCTTAGAAATTATCAAAATTATCCATTTCCATGCCACAAAATAAAATTCACATCAGGCTCTAATACGACTTTAAGATTCACAGTTTTATCCGTTCCAGATATGTGCAAAGATGGACTTTACATTTCAACAAAACAGTCAGATACACTAGTTCTGTCAACGTCAAATACAGATACTCAATCACTTGACAAATACACAGATAAATGCTTTGTTCCTGCCACTACTGGTCATTTAGATGTCTATTTGAATTTCACATCTGATTCAGAAGAGACTCTTTTCTATGCATATCATGCTTTCACTAATTTTTCTGTGCATACAGCAGATTTAAATACTAAATTTACCTATATGGGTCCTCATTATTTTAGAATTCTCGTCGGTTCGGATTCAAATAACACAGATATTAGCTTTCATTTTGTTGCTAAAATGCATCAAGGATATAATCCAAGAACAGATTACTTCTTTCATGAACAAATAAGTGATGATTGTCCTGATGCAGAAACATGGGCTACAAATACATTAGCTCTAGTATTTTGTATACTTGCAGCGGCATTTTTCATTATAGACTTCTTCTGGTTTGCACATAAATGTTATACAGGTGCAGAGAAATCGAAGACTAATGATGAAAATGCACATGGATCAGCAAGACCTAATGATTCAACGTTTAGGTCCTCTTTTCTAGCTCTTCTTTAATTATTCATTTTTTTTTATTTGTTTATTATTTGATTATGTTAAAATCTATGTTATATCTAGTCCTATAATGCATCAGTACTATTTCATGAAGATGACTGATCACGCTTACAGCATGGATGTTTTGATCGATCACAAGTCAATTAATTTTAAGATTTGCATCCGGTACCATCAATCTATACTATCTGTATACCGATATTGTACAAATTTTATATTAAAAGTTCGTGAATTCGATGATTGGCTGAACAAAATTTACTATTATTGACCTTATTTCATGATGAACTCAAATCTTATAAGGTGGGTGATCTTCTCACAACATTTATTATTGAGATTTGGGGGATAGCATCAAATTCAATGAATCTTCACAAAAATTAAATTTTACTTTTCGTCATTAAAACGAGATTATGCACTATACCAAGATTAAAAAATCATAAAATCAACAAAAGTCGATTCAAAATGTAAGGTCGAAATTGAATGCATTCTTTTTATGAAAAACTAATTCCTACTAAAAATCATAGTTAGTACATTAGTTGCAAATTCGTTTTAATAACCGAAAAAGTTTTCTGAGTCCCCAAATCCAGATTTTCTCTCAATTACTTCCTTTCAATTTGATAATCGCTGCACTTTTTCTCTTATCGTAAAACAATACCCATTTCGATCAATAATATATGAAAGCTCCGTGGTCTAAAGACAACGAGCAGAAACTATTCCGAGCTTTAAGTGGACCCAACAACAGCATCAAAAGTCGCTATGACGCTGAGAAGTTTCTTTTCAATCAATCAACAGCAAAGAAATCTTCCGAGAGGTATATTTCTTGGATGATTGCATTGAGTATTCTCTCTTCTGAAAGTGATAAGGTATATACTAATCTTCTTCAATTAGTATCTAACTATGAAATGTTGTTGGATTCTAAGTTGAATGATCGTCTTAATGATCCATTATCTGCACTTTCTGATGATACAAAGCACCAAATACAGAATGACCTCAACAGAACAATCAAATTCTTCAATGAACTTGCCACTTCAAGTAATCTTCCAAACACAAAGAAGAGTGGCGCCGTACTAAGGGCCTCCAGAATCCTTGCCTTATTACAATTATCTGATAACAGCTTCCGCTATCTCCAGGGCTACGAAAGATATGTTTTTGTCTGCTATTTGATTTCAGTTCTCTTCACTACTGAAAATGACTTACCAGACATTGTTGCCGAGGCTTCTGCTTATTACTTATCATCCAAAATGATCGAATTGTCCGGCGCAGCACAGATTTTATCCAATTCAAGCCTTCTTGAACAGCATTTCCATAAGTTGGACGAAAAGTTGGTTAACATTAATGCATCTTTAATGAACCATCTTACATTTTCTCAGCAGTCTTCCATCAACTTCGCTCTTAGATGGGAATTATTATTATTTGCTGAGGAACATAACTACCATGGACTTGTTCTCATTTGGGACCGTATAATCGCTCGCAGACAAATGATTCACCAGTATATTGAATCATTAATTCTTGCTCATTTTGCTCAATTACCTGAAACACGTTTAAACAACGTTCAGCACTTCAAAGAATGGAACATCAAGCAGCTTCTCGATGATGCTGAGAAATATGCTAGTCAGCACTCTTATTTCCACTGGAGCAAAGCATTGATGGTTGCCATCACAGTTGGAGCAGTTTCTCTTGTCAAACTGATCCACTAATATATTATTGTTTTATTTACCATGTAAATTTTGTTTTCTATCCTTATCAAATTGACTTTTTTAAAAACAAATTATTTAATTAATGTTTAAAAGCTGGTTCAGTGCAAAAGATATTAAAAACGGTAGAAATTCTAACATACCAGTATTAAAAGTAGTAAATCATGACCTTGCAAAATTAAATCCATCATAGACGAAGATTATTAGCAGAATAGCATTATTTTCATACATAAATCAAGTTTGGTGAACATTTATACTACATTTATATCCATAAATGTAGGTAATACTCTAATTTGAGATCATAAATTGCATTTTTTACATTGATATAAAAACAAATAAAAACAAATATGAATTTAAGAAGGAGTTTCAATATACTTTGATCGCCAATTGTTACATCTGGGATACCGTTCATGTTTCTTTAAGGAATTGTCATTGAAATTTTTGTCAATTTTCAATTTTTTGAATAATTCTTTGAATAATTATAATAATATGAATTTACACTTGAATATGTGTTTGAGCTTGTTGGCTCTTATTAATTTTGTGTAACTGCTCTTTCAAACCAGATATAACTTCAAAACTTCGAATTTGAACATGCTAGGATGGGTTTACTACAAATGATTAGTATGGATAATAGCTAGGATCGCATTGTTGAGGTTCATAATGATTTAACATATATTAATGCTTGACTTTAAAATGTTTAATAGATATACTTTATAAAAAAGAATAAAGCTTTGTCCCACAAGGGAAATAATTATACATGTATACCACTGAATGATGTGTCTAATAATAGATTGTATAAATTAGTTGAATTAAAAAAAAAAATCAAATTTTAAATTTTAGCTTAAGAGAATAATACAAAATTCGGCTTATAAGACAACAATCAATCGGGATTATGGCTGGTTATCTAATGGCGCTAATGTAAGCTCATCAAAGTTCGAAATTGGATGAAGAGTTTCCTTTAAGAACTTGTAGATGTAAAAGCATGATATAGATAATAATATAATACTGCCAGCACACGAGATATCCATGAATACGACAGCAAGTGTGATATCCTTTTTGACGAATTTTCGGCAAGCTTCAGTTCCTGTGCATGATAGCTCAACTGGTACATCAGAGGTGTTCATCCAGCCGCAGCACTGATGAATTAATTGTAATTTATCGCCAAATCTGAAATATTCCGGCTTTTCGAAGACGTACCCGTAAGAATCAACAATGTATGTAGTCTTTACAGCTGTGATAACTAATAAAGAAAGGTATAAAACGCATGCTGAAATTGATAAAATTAAGGTAACAATAATGGACCATGGCTTACTTAAGTATAGTAATAACAACAATGAAACCATTAGGCAAATCTGAACTATGGAGGAAATTGTAATGATATTTTCGAAATAAGAAGAAATTCCAGTTAGATAGTTACGTGAAAGGATCCATTGAACAAAAACGATGCCAAATATGAAGGAAAAACCAGCACCCATTCCATAAAGGACAGCATTGGTATAAGTTTTCTTTCTTGGTGCCATGTGAAGTTAATTGACAATTTGACAGAAAATTCTGACATTTGAAAACAAAAATAATTTTCGACAGTAAAACAACCAACTTTTATTAACAAAATTATTTCTTTAAGAGTGTTAAAAATTTGATTGCTTTTCATAAGGCTTGATTTTCATAGAAGCTTCAGAGAGCATTGTATGGGAAAGCTTAATTCGAGATATATCTGAAGCCTCCATTAGATTCATCTAAGTGATAAGTGAATCAGATGTTGGTAATTGTTTACACTTTTGACGGTTATGCAGTATTAAACTTATGGAACTCATTTATCAATTAAACTTATAAATACTGCATCTTTTAAGACTGACCCTATTCTTACAAAAGACACAGACAATTCATGGAATGATTATTATAAAGATATCGTTGGTGAACAAACAAATCCTATTTCCGGGATCGGGAATTATAATTTATCCAATTTTATCTTTCAAAATATAACTACCCAAATAATTCATTTAACAGAGCGTTCAAAGTTATTTGCAACAAATGGGATATTTTCAAATTGCAGTCTTTTTGGATATGAAAAAAGCGCAATTGTGCTTTTATCTGATATTACATTATGTAAGTTCGATAATGTATGCATATCCCAAATTAATTCTGATAATGAAAATTATTTTTTACATATAATCATAAATTCAACTAACAAAGAAGATCATACATTCTCACAAATGACTATTTCAGAATATAATGGATTTTTTTGTCCCTATGACCAAAAGAATGGCATAGTTTATTTCCGAAATCTTAATTTCTCACATTCAATAAATTCACGCTCATCTATATTACATATTGACTCCGGCTCTATAATTGAAATTTTTCAATCTTCGTTTTACAATAATACATGTGAAATATTAATTAATAAAGAGAAAACTTTCGATTTTACAATTGGGAACACAAACTTTATTGGAAATTGGCATTCAGGAGATTACAGCCCCAAAAATATTCTAATTAAAGCAAAAGATGCATTTACCTACATTTACTATTCGGCATTCATTAGCAACAAATTCTATTATTTATTTTTTGTTGGTGATGAATCTCAAATAACAAACTGCAATTTTCTTAATAATATCAATTCAAATCTTACCAAAACCGATGTCCTCCTTGAACAAAATCATGAGAGTAATTTAACTTACAATAATTCTTATAATAACTTAAGTTTATGTATGACAGGCCCGTTTATTGTAATAAAAATATCAAATATATCATTTGATAAAGAAGTATATGATATAGAGTATGATCGCATTTTTGATTATACATTAAATATTGAATATTTCGCATCCAATGACATTGATTTAATTATCTGGTCTAATGATTCTTCTAGTAGAATAATTCAAGAATCAATATACATCGATCTGAACGAAAATATGATTCATGGTCTTGGAGAAATTACAGATATTTATAAAAAAGGGAAAAATACTCTTTATTTTCAATTAATAGATAAATCAACAAATATTACATCAAAGATTTATAATAAATCTTTCCTACTCACATATAAGCCACAATTGGAAATAACTCATTTCAACACGAATGAAATAATAGGATATGTTACACATAGAAATGAATATAATGAGGTGATTGTCAAAGCATTTATTGATGATGAAGAAATTGAATTTTGTTCTACATATGCTCATTCAATAGATATTGCTCGAAAGGAATTTCATTTAGAATTGCACATGGATAGAAACTCTAATTATACCATTAAGATTATTGCAATAGATAGTGATTCAGTACAAAGCGACCCAGAATTTGTCAGATTAGAAGATGCATATATTGAATTACTGGACGTCAATTTTAATAAGACAATTTTGAAACCTAATGAGCACGCATTTGTAGTAACTGGAAATGGTATTTCATGGATTCAACCAAAGATCCATTTAAAAATAAATGGAAATGAAATCATTATCCAAGAAGAGATAAACTATAAAGAAAACACTAATGAGTTCACATTTTCGATTTCATTTTATTTTCATGATTTCTACAAAGACTGCTCAAATACTCTTCAAGTCTGGATGACGACATCAAATGGAATTTCGAATGTAATTGAAAATAAGTTTTGTTTCAGAGAAATGACTGACAATCCTCTTTCTTTCAGCTCTCTGAACACAGTATTAAAGCACATAAAGAGACGCTAAATTTTTTATTGATATTTTAGTTTAAAGATAAAACATTCTTAGTCTTATTTCTTTCATATTTTACTTGAAATGATTTTTTAAAATAATATATAATTATGATTCCGCCTGATTCTGAAAAATTGAAATAATTCTATAGATTACGCGGAGATATTTTTAATCCTACTAAACATTTCAGAAAAATAACTATTCAAAGACTTGTGCTTTTAAAGATTTTCGAAGGTACATACCAATGAACATGTAAACGTAGTAAAGAAACGACTCGATTGTAAAATAATGACGATAAAGAAAATTTCAGTTATGGAACTCACTGATGAGCAGCGAGAATTCCTTATGGATCCAAATGATTACCAGGAAATCAGGGAATTACCATCCAGCGGATTCTCTCGCGTAGTTCTAATGGAAGAAAAAACGACGAAACACCAAGTTGTCTTTAAATATGCAAAATTGATGATTGAGTCTGCATCTGAGGACGATCCAGTAACCAGAAAGATGTTTTATAACAAAGTTTATCAATCTATCAAGCAAATGCATCCATGTATCAATCCAACTGAAGGATTTTGTCCACCAACGAAAGAAGGCATACCAATTATTGTTTCAACATATGCATCCAACGGATTTTTGGATGATAGAAACATTGTTAACGCTAATCCTACAAAGAAATTACTAATTACAATCGGTCTTGCAGCAGCTCTCAAATTTTTACACAATCAAAGAATATTCGATCTTAATATCAAACCATCAAACATTCTCATCGATAAAAATTACTATCCAATGATCACAGATTACAATTACACAAGATTTAATAATAATCCACACAATCCATGCATGAATGTAGGTACAGTCCTATACCTTTCGCCAGAGCACATCACACAGGAGTATGTCGTCTCTCCAAAATCCGATATTTTCTCGTTTGCCTGGATTATTTATCGTTTATTCTGTCATAGAGATCCTTTCCAGATGTTTAATGATCCATTGGAGTGTGTCATGAAGTTTTCTCAAGGTTGGCGTCCCGAAATTCCCAATACAACAGCTCCTGTCATTCAAGATATTATTCAACAGTGCTGGTCACAAAATCCTGATGCCAGACCAACTGCTTCAGCATTATTCGACATGTTATGCATGAATATTTCGAATATCATCAACGATCTAAACGAACAAGCGATTATTTTATACTTACGAGCCATTTTAGACTACGACAATGGCATTGCTTGCCAAGCTCTCGGCGACGACCGCGGCAAGTTCGAAGTTGCTCGTATTCTTTACTTATCTCATACATCTCCTTACATTCAGAACCTTTCCATGACCAGAATCAAGTCTTACGCTGAAGCAGGAGACCGTGATGCAATTAACTTCTTGTCCCAATTAACAGGTGAAGTGGTCATCGACGCTTCCCCAGAGGAAGTTAAAAAAGTGACAGAAAAAGTGAAAACACATTCACATACAAAAACCGTTACAAGGCCAAAGACGAACAACGTTGCAATTATCGAAGCAGCAGCAAACGGGGAGCTTGAAAAGGTCAAAGGCTATTTAGCAGACAATGTTGATGTAAATACACAGGATGAGAATGGAGATACAGCTCTTCAAGTTGCAGCAAGAAAAGGTGATTTGGAACTTGTCAAATATTTGATCAAAGTTAACGGAATTAATTTGAATACGACAAACCAAAAAGGATATTCACCTTTACACGAAGCAGTTAGATTTTCAAAGACAGAAGTTGTTTACACGTTAGTTAAAGCTCCTGGAATAGAAATGTCCATCAAAGATAAGATGGGATATGGACCATTGGATTGGGCAACAAATGATGACATGAAGAATTATTTGATTAAACATGGCGCTAAAAGTCGAAAGATCCCTGGGGCTGATGGAACTGCTGCTCAGCCAACTACTACTTCTTCATCCAAACATAAATCAAAGAAGAAGAAATCAGGTTCTTAATTTTATTTATATTTCTTTATAAAAATTTTTTGTAATTTAATTTAATTAAGGGTGCACACGAGAGGATCATGTAAACTTCAGAATTTAGAACCTTATTTTTAGGCATTATCTTGGCTACCTATTTAGGCTCGAAAAGCAAAAAAATATCAAAAAATACAACTTGACTCCATTATGACCCTTTCATGGAGGTAGTTTTTATCCGCTAGTATTTTCCCTTTGAATCTCTTTACAATTCGAAATCAAATTCAAAACTCAGTAGAAGAAAGTAAGAATCGACTTACTACGGTTGTAATACGAATAAATACATATATTTAATTATTTTTATTTACATAATAATTGTTTGAAGCTCATATTCCAACAAATTTTTAAATAAAAACATTAAAATGTTGAAAATGTTCATATATTTTAATAGGGTTTTGGCACTTTATTGAGGAATTACTACATACATAGTCGAACTGAACTTGATATTTTGAAATTTAAATTATTTATCAAAATTAAAATTTAACTTGAAATTTATAATTATTTAGTCATATTTTGCATAATTCTAAGTAGATTTTGTAAAAAATCAAGAAAGAAAAATTTTAACGTGCTTTATTTTTTCTTTTTTATAATAATACATATTATTAAGGTCAGGTATGAGGGGCTTCCAGGGGCTGCGCCCCTTCTAGCCCTGAAGATGTTTAGTATAACTTTGTCCGGACAAGTAAGGGTCTATCGTCGCTACAGGAAAAGTTACAGGCGTTCCAAGGAAGTATACTTTGAGAAGCCTTCTTCTGGGTCGAAAACATTATATAATGTGTCGCTTTTCACAAATTATATATGTTTTCATGTTTTGTCACTTTTCTGTCACTTTTCAGGAAAAAACATTTTTATTATTATATATAAATGAATTTTACAAAACCACCGTTACCCTTCTTTGGAAATAAGAGTAGATGTAAAGATATTCTATTGAGAGAACTTAAGAAACTACCGAATGGTCTAACATTTGTAGATTTGTTCGGTGGAAGTTTCTATATATCCCATTTATGTCATACAATATTCCCAGACTCAAAGATTATATGCAATGACTTCGACAACTATATGAACCGTCTCAAACATATACCAGACACAAACAATATATTGAAAGCGTTAAAAGAAAAGATACCTATAGGTAAGATGGAACGTATACCATTAGATAAGAAAAATATTGTGAGAGAGGTTTTGAAAAAAGCAGAATATATAGACTGGGATAGTATATCTGCTAGACTATTATATAGTGGTTCTATAAGAGTTCATGACATTGAAACACTTATGTCAAAAGTTTTATATCTTAACTATACAAATGTTTTCAAAGGGGACATAGAAAAATATATTGAGGGTATAGAGTTTGTGAGATGTCATTGGACAGAGTTGTATGAAAAATATAAAGACAAGGAAAATGTTTTCTTTATAGTGGACCCGCCGTTCTATAACACATGGGATTTTCAATACCAAGTAGACTGGACTTTGAGAGACTCTTTAGAAACTTTAGACGTTTTACATAACCATCCATGCTTTTACTTTACATCCGATAAAAGTGGTTTGGAAACCGTTATGAGATGGTTAGAGGACATACATGCCTATGAGTTTAGATATGACAAGATAGAATATGAGAGAGGTCCTATAAACCGGAGAAAGTGTCATAACAAAGAAATTTTACTAGTAAGTAAATGTGGTTTGAAATAGGACTACTTGTTTTAGGTTTTTTCCATTGTGTCATTTATTTATTTGACGTGGCAGAAAGATATAGAGAATATGAAGATGAACCAATGCCTGCAAATGTCCAGTATATGTACTCGTAAGAGATATTTTTATCTAATATTAAATGGACGCACAGAACTTAGCAAATGCACAGCAACCTGGACAACCAAACCCAGAGAATATTCCAAATGAAGTTAGAATACAAACTGCAATGGCAAACTATGGTCAAGTGCCAACAGATGTACAAATGCAAACTGCCATGTCAAATGACGCTGCGTTAGGTTTGCCACCATGGTATGCAAATATGAGATGGAAAGAGTTTTATACAAACCCTGAAGTGGGATATAAACAACTTTATGCAGATGACGCGAACACAGGAGTTGACCCAGAATATGTTTTCTACCAGAGGAGAAACAGAATGTATGAGCTCCAGTTAAAGAATGCTATGGAACTCAACAGGAAACGTAAGAGACTAGGTGGACATTAGATTTTTACATATAGTAAAATGGGTTTCTTCAGTAGTATTGGAAACTTCTTTCGAAATGTTGGAAGAGGTATATGGAATGGAATAAAAACCGTAGGAAGAGGAATTTGGAACGGAGTCAAAAATATTGGTAAAAGAGTAGGTCAGTTTGTTGGTATTATACCTAAAGACCCTGAACCAGAAGAACAAGCTCCTGTTATACAACAGCCTGAACCTGCACCACAGTCTAGTTGGCAACCAAATCCAACACCTCAACCGTATTAAAAAGTTATATTTTTACCGTTCGATAGTAGTTGTATATGAAACTAAGTTCTAAGTAAAACGCATGGTATAATGGAACTATTCTCTTTCTTCCATCTGTTGTAAACCATACTTGAAAGTCTGAAATACTTCCACTTGGTGGTTCGTATAACTTTGTAGGTTTTTCGTAAAAGTCATTTGCCAAGCATAAAAAAGAGTTTTGCGCACCAGAAAATGAAGCATGAACGATAATAGCATCTGAGTCGAAAACATTTTCATATGTTCCATTAGGGTTTTCGACTTCATAAAAGTCTGGGTGTACTGGATATTCTGCAGGCTGATTTAACATCCTCAGAAATCTATACCATGCCAAGTTGTTATATTTTGTAGAAATATAAACGTTTTCTCCAAGGTCTTCTATTCTATTGATTTTAACAGTTGCATTTTTCCTGTCATATATAATATCGAGATGGTACTCTCCCTCGTCAATGTTATACTGGTTTGCATATTCGATATAGATGTCGTTTATTTTTTCTTGAAAAGCTTGAAGAGTTGTTTCTAAGTTTACAAGCAAATTCACTTGTAAAAGTTTTCCCTGTTCAAATTTCTCATACGTACGTTTTTCTTTGTTATAGTATCGAACTTCAAAACCGACTGTAAATGGGAAACCATGTATGGCTTCTGAAATGAACTTCATTCTACGAAAGCCAATAGCTTTTGTGACAGATGGGTCTCTTAACCATCTTAACGGGTAGTCAAAACGATAGCCTTCATGCTTTACGGTCTCTGTCTCAAACTTTTGACCGACATTCGTAAAAAGTTCATCTAATGGTTTAGTTGTAGCAACTCTTGAATTTTCTTTTTCTATTGAAAGCATATTTTATCTAGAATAAAAATGTCAAATGAAACAGCGTCTATGAGAGAAATACAACACAACCGACAACTCATTATACAAGCTCTAAATAAGAACACAAAAACTTTTCAAACTATTCTAAGATATCTGAGTCATTGAAAGAAGGAAACTTAAAACTGACTTTAAACCCAATGACAGATGAGTTTCTGTTTCAAGACAATAAGAACCATACTGTTTGTATAAATCCAACAAAAGGAACTTTAAACGAGAAACCTATATCTGAACTTCTTTTGAAAGCAGATGTTGGCAACAAAGCTGACAAAGAATATGTAGACGATGCAATAGCAAAAGAAGAAGAAAGAGCTAACAAAGCTTATGCAACAAAAGAACATACTCATCCTGAACTAGCAGACAAAACATATGTTGACAATAAAATGTCAAGTGAAGTGACAAGAGCTGAAAACGAATATTCTAAAAAGACTCATACACATACCATTGCAAATATTGCAAACTTACAAGAAACCTTAAACAGGAAAAGTGCCGTTGGACATACACATACCATTGCAAATATTGCAAACTTACAAGAAACCTTAAACAGTAAAAGTGACGTTGGACATACACATACCATTGCAAATATTGCAAACTTACAAGAAACCTTAAACAGTAAAAGTGACGTTGGACATACACATACCATTGCAAATATTGCAAACTTACAAGAAACCTTAAACAGTAAAAGTGACGTTGGACATACACATACATCTTCTGAAATAACAGACTTAAACGTTAGCCTTGAAAATAAAGCAGATAAAACATATGTCAATGAAATATACCAAAGTTTAGTTGGAACAAAAAATATTGAAACTATTGTTGGTGACTTTTCTTTCAATGAAGAAAACAAATATTTTAGATGGCAGTTTGTACATTCCTTAAAAAATGGTATACGGTATAAACTCATTCCGAAAATAACAATGAAATGTATGTAAGCTATAAAAAGAACGATGGTACACAAGTTAAAGTTCCATTAGACAACAACTGCTACTTAAACTTATATGGAGACGAACAAAAGAAATATTTCCGAGTTTATGAAATGACAGATATGACATTGCCTGACCCAGCTCCAGCACCATACTATTATGACTATGGAGATGACAACAGAACACCACATGTAGATGAACAAAAGCTAACATTATATTTAGATTTTTATAGATATAAAAGATATAATGCAATAGAAAAACGAGAATAGTATACTATTATGAAGATGACAGAAATAAATATTATAGTCAAGATTTTACCTACCCTGAAAACATAAGATTATATTATAAAAAATATTCTGACACAAACCAGAAGAAACCTGAAATAGTTGCACTATATTTTAAGTTCAAAAGAGACAATCCTATAATATCTCATATGTTTGATTTAATGAACCCAGTAGGTTCTATTTATACATCTATGGAAGCAAGGTCCTCAAGTAATGTTTGGTGTTGGTGCATGGGAACAAATAGTCGACAGGTTTTTGTATTGTGCAAACTCTTCAAAGGAAACAGGTGGAAGTAAAACGATTTCAGGTGAAAACTTACCTGCGCACAGTCACTACATAGATTTAAGTACATCTCAAGCAGGTTGGCATAAGCATAGATATTGGGATTGGTCAGGAATGACAAAAGGTAAAGGATATGATGTTAAAGACGACGTTAAGTTTGCTAT